TAGGGGTTTGAGAAATGTCTGTGGAAAGATTACCTCATGGCCACAGCCTCCCACTGGCCCCATCAACTTAGCCTAGTCAAACAACTCAATTTCATCCTTTCTTCCCCCCTTCCTCACCCCTTCACCTGGTGACCTCGGTGGGGCCAATTGGCACAGAGCTCGCAGGGAATTGAGTGGTGGTTTCCCTCTGGTGTGCTCAGCTGGAGGCAGGCAAAGCAGGCACCTCTGCAGGTAGTGAGTGAGTGGGCCTTGTCTCCCGGAGGCTGCTCTGTGCAACCTCTGGGCCTCCTGCAGATCAGACTCAATCGCCTTCACTTCCTGTGCTCACAGAGATTAGATACTGCCTAATCAACACCAGGTTTTCTTTTTCTTAATATTTGAAACTACCAAGTACCCGTTGCCATCCTAGTGGGTGGCTTTCAGAAATCCCCTCTTTTCTAGTGTTTGACTTCTACGATTCAAGAAACGAGTCTATTTGGAAAGAACCTGCACTTAGAAGTTCTTTGAATTGCAGTGAAGCACTGGCAGGAAGTGACTTGGGATCTGGGTTACACAGTCTTGTCTCACTCCCAGGAGAGGTGGGAGTAATGAGGTATAGCTGCGTCTGGGTGTAGACATAACTTTTCATTGCACCCGTGGCCAATCCTCATGCGTGACTGATTTTACTGATGGTGGCCGATATGAAATCAAAGGACGCATTTTAAGCTGTCAAAGGTCTAAAACACACTGGTGGTGCTCCCAGGGGCAGGCTCACATGATGCTGAATGTGCTTACATGATGATGAATATGCACAGCTGAGCTGTGCTAAGGCATCATTGCATTTTCTTTATATTTAACATTTTGATTCACTAAAATAAATGTGTCATTTAAAAATTTTACTTGGTTGTTCTCAATGACAGAAATGTTAGTTTCCTCTCGCTGTGATGGAGTATGTCAGGTAAATCTTTATTTCCTTTCAGTTTTTTCCTTTTTGTGGTGATAATCCTCCTGTATGCCTTTGTTTTCCTGCTCCCACCTCCACCATGGGTAAATAACGCAACAAAGTTGTCATTCTGAGAGGCTCTGTCTGCCCATCCTATTTGTGGAGTAAGATCCATCTTTCATAATGTCATGACTTCCTTATGAAGCTGTTGAAAGGGCAAGAGACTTAGATGGGAGAAGGTCAAACACAGGAGAGTTGTCAGGTAGAAGTTATACAGATGGAAAAGCAAGATCCAGGCTAAAACTGCACTCTTCCTCAGCCTTAGCCTCTCCATGGGAGTTCCTCAGCCTTAGCCTCTCCATGGGAGGCCACAGTGCCCCCTGCAGCATGGCACAAGTGACCATTTTTTGCTGCTGGTCAGATGAACTTCAAAAGCTTCAGGAATGCAAAACCTCTACAGAATGCAGGGTGGCAGGATTTGACGACCCACACTCACATGCCAGGCCAGTCTTATCTTTCATTAAGTGGAAGGTATGATTGAGCACTGGACTTTGATCACATCCCGTGTCAAGAATGGTTAGGGAATCTGAAGTCAGTTATATAACCTAAGTCTTAATTTCCTCATTAGGAAAGTGATAGTGTTACCTTAAAGGGTCATATAAAGAGTAAATGCCATGTTTCAAAACACACATCCTTACAATGCTTACTAAATATTAAACACTTTCATAATTGTAGCCTAGAATTTCCCACAAGATAGTAATGCTTTTATCACTGGATCTCAGTTCTCAGCTTTCCTCAAGTTCCTCAAGCTACTATATGAAAGTTTATTTTTATTTGAAGTATTTGAATTTTAAAGTAATTTATGCATTCTAGTTGAATGACTTGGTTAATATGTCACTCTTCAGTTTAACCCCAGTTCACCCTCTAGAGATTGATAATAATTAACCCTTGGCCAAATGAGGTGACTAAAACTAAAACAAATGTCATCCAAATGTTTCAGTTCTTGCTCTTCCCTGATTTGGGGGGTTTGCTTCTGGGGTCTCTCTGGTGGCACAAGTGGTTAAGTCTCAGCACTATGAAGCTACTGGCAGCAAGTCTGATCCCGCCAGGGAGCTAGCCCACATGGTGCAGCGGGTCTCACCCACTGCTTTCCTCAGCAATGTCTTTCAGCCCATCTGGCTGTTCTGGCCTCCACTCTTTCTCTGGTGACTCCTCCCACCCCATCACCTCTGCCTGTATACACCCCAGCTCTTGTTCGCATAAATCTTTAGAAAACAAGATTTTTTCCCCCTAAAGATTTATTTATGTATACAGAACTGGGGTACAAACCAGAGGTGAAGGGGCAGTGAGAGGCTTCACCAGAGACAGCGGGCGGGGCACAGAACAGGCAGATCGACAAGTACACTGCTGAGGGGAGCAGGAGAAGGGTCAGGAGAGGTCTGCTGTGCCATGTGGATCACCTCCGGGGTGGGGATGGAACTCTGCCCTGAAGCAGCTGCTGCTAGCTTGCTGTGCTGAGTCCTAAGCCGGTGCGCCACCAGGGAGAGCCTGCATAAATAAATCTTAAAAAAAAAAAA